AAATTCAATCGTGCGTCAAATGACTTTCTTTCTGTATAGAATGAGATTCCTTGAGATGTCACTACTGTTACTTATTGATGAATGTGGGTTCTAATTCCTAAAAGAATCATGCTTTGATTCTTTTATTTTTTGATGGCTGATCCTTGCTTGCTTTGAGATCTTGGTCCATACTCATTTGTACCCTAAAGACAATGATGATCTTTGCTTTGTCATGTTCTTTGGATTCTCTCTGACTCCTTGATGTCTTTCGAGTCGCGGTCTGGTTTATACAACCTCAACATTGTTGTCTTGTGGTGGTAGTTGAAGTGTCTTTGTTTTAAATGAATGAACTTGTTAGTTTTTTTTTGTGGTTGCATTTGCATTTGCATTGGAGGAGTTGTGTGTTTCTACATTGTCTTCACTTTGAGTCGAAATTGTAATTTTCACATTTTTTTTGTTCTATATATATACACAGGAGCTGGAGGTGACTCATCGAAATGCAGTGAAATGAGTGTTGATGAGAAGAGACAGCTTGTTTATGAACTGTCGAAGCAATCACATTTAGCTTCTGAAGTCTTGCAGGCATGGAGTCGCCAAGAGATTCTACAGATCTTATGCGCGGAAATGGGGAAAGAAAGAAAATATACTGGCTTGACCAAAGTCAAGATCATTGAGACTCTTTTGAAAATTGTAACCGAGAAGAACTCTGGAGAGTATGAAGGGAAGAAGAGAGATTCTGATTGTTTGCCTATTCAAAGAAACTCAAAGAGACAAAGGAAAGTCGATAATCCTACTCGATATGTGATTCCAACGAGCCTCAATGCCTCAGGGAGCTGCAACTCGGTTAATACTAAAGGTAAAAGATCTTCCATTTTCCAGTTCAAAGTTTAAAAATAAAACATTTTGGTGTTTACTAACTTGGAAATAGAATTTGGTCAGGTGAGGAGAATACTATCTACTGCAACAATTTGGCTTGCCGGGCCATACTGAGACAGGAAGACTCGTTCTGCAGAAGGTGTTCTTGTTGCATCTGTCGTAAGTATGATGATAACAAAGATCCTAGTCTCTGGTTGACATGTAGCTCAGATCCTCCATTTGAAGGTGATTCTTGTGGATTCTCTTGTCATCTTGAATGTGCTTTCAAGACTGAAAAATCCGGTCTTACAAAAGACAAGCAAAGCGAGGGATGCTGCTTCTACTGTGTCTCTTGCGGTAAACCAAACAGCTTGCTTGAATGTTGGAAGAAGCAACTGACGATTGCTAAAGAAACTAGAAGGGTAGATGTCCTTTGTTACCGTCTTTTCTTGGTCCAGAAGCTTTTAAAGGGATCTACGAAATACCGAAATCTATGCGAGGCTGTGGATGAAGCTATAAAGAGTCTTGAAGCTGATGTGGGTCCTCTCACTGGTCTCCCTATGAAAATGGGTAGAGGAATTGTAAACAGACTTCAATCAGGACCCGATGTGCAGAAACTTTGCTCTTCTGCCCTTGAATCTCTTGAAACTTTAGAAACAACACCTCATGAAGTTACTGCATTGCCTTCACCTCGTGGCTCCAAGATGCATAACGGTCAGCTTTTTAATACCCAAATGATTCAACTATTGAGTAATGTTTTTAAGTATAATCAATAATGGTGTTTCTCTGTTTTTGTGTTTGCTAGATTGTTCTTATGGATTAAGCAATGAGATATCTGCAGATACAGCAACCACAGTATCAACCAAGATCAGGTTTGAGGATGTTAACGTGACTTCACTCACAGTGATTCTCGCCTCTAACGAAGTTGCCTCACCTGCAAACATCGTTCATTACAGTATTTGGCATCGTAAGGTCTCTGAGAAAGATTACCCTGAGAAATC